TATTTTCTTCAGGCTTTACTGTAGATCAGAGGATTCCCACCAGCTATTCGAAGTCGCAATTCAAACACTTTATGAGCTGAGGAAGAGCAAAAAGCAAGGATGTAGGGAATAGTGCTCCTAAAATCAAAATGGACATGATAATGTTGCCGAATACAATGTAATCATTCTAAAACATTTCTTTCATTTTAAGGGGCCAGTTGTTTCTTAATTGGAGGCCGTTTTAAGTTGTGGCAGATCAATGCGTAGGCCAAACTAATAGTACAGTCAGCCCCCATTATTATGATATACAGTATGTTTGATCTCAAGAGCCCAACTCATCCCTCTGGTACCCTTTATAGATTTAACCGGTTAGTTTAGTTGCACAGTTGAAGAGTTGAATGTGAGGGCAGGCCTTTGAACAAGTTCAGCAGGTTGGATACTGCAGGAGGACAATTTGGATGCAGAGTGAGATGTCATCTGAGAAAAGTGTGCCATTTTAACTGCATCACAAAGAAATATAACACCGATTTCAACGCGGTTTCCCTATCCTTTAGTCCAGTTACATCCACACGATGACAGTGATTTCCATGGAAACCGCCCAGCAACAGGCTGCATCCTTGAAACCAATCAGAACCTGCTGTGTGTCTGTGTCTCGTCCAATTGGAGAGGCAGTGGAGGGGGAGTACAGGGGGTTTGTGGGCCGTCAAGGTGAATGCTCAGGAGGCGTGATCGAGGTCGAGATCACTTCCTGCTTGAAAGAAGTAAGAATCTCAACATTTTAGTTTAAAAGAGACGTTTCTGTAATTCTAAAAACTAATCATTGAGCAGATATCTGTATATTAGTTGTTTTAAATGTTTACAATCAATTTTGGGCTTGGTCGTTACTCGGGTTAAAGGTCCACCACCTGACAGTTAACAGAATGGGTCCAAGACATAAACAAATACATTTGCGGCAGTGATAGTTGTCTTCTACTTATTTTGAAGTCCTTCAAAAGCGACTTAGAAGAAGACAGCCTGTAGGAGCTGTGGCTCAGTTGGTAGAGATCGTCCTCTAATCATGAGGCGGGTGCTTTGATCTTCTATTGTCAGCATGTCCAACCCCCTAAAATGCATACATGTTGTCACGGGTGTGGGTTTTTGGGGTTCCGGAATAAGGCAGGACACGGCAGGTTTAGTTGACAATACTTTTATTTTGCTTCTTACGCTCCTCAAAACACAGCGCTCCCGGCGTCTAGCTCGCTCGTTTTGCGGCTCCCTTCTCGTCCCGATCGCCCTTACTGCGTTTTAAATAACAAGACAAACACAATCAATCAACATTCAGCTCAGCTGAGGCCAATCGCCTCCACCTGGCACCGTTCACTGAGCCACTCCCCCTCTCTCTCTCCCCTCTGCAGACGAGCCAAAACCACGCCCCCCACCACATACCCCCTGCGCCCCCAGCCTATGGCCCGCCGTGAAGTTACATGGTTGTAGAGCCAGATGCCACCGAGTGATCCGTTGGTATCCTTCATGCGGTGGAGCCACATGAAGAACACATCTGGGCAATGTGTGTTCTCTGGTCCTCAGAGAGACGGGCCTCGTACGGGAGCAGGGTGGGATTAACCGCTTTTGGCACCCCCGGCCCCAGCTCCTGTCTTTCTGGTACCGCAGGCACCAGTAGTGATGGCAAAGTGAAGCTTTCTGAACCAGGGAAGCTTTCCAGCCAATTGTATCAGAAAAAGGTTCATTCATTCAATGCATCGCAAACTCTATGATGATCTCTGCTGTTGAAAACTTGTAGTGCAAATGTATCGAATAGCCCACCAGTATATTTTGGCCCAGTCTCTGTGGGTTTAACATGATTATACATGGATTCCTATATGAATAAAACTATTTTTTTTCAGGTTTGAATTGTGTCCTTGTTTGTGTATTTCAATTCTCTGTACATTGGAAAGAAGTTTAACAAACACTTATCTATATCTTTCTGCACCTTTGCATGTATGTTTGTGATCATATTAGCAGAATAATTAATAGAAGATATATAATATAAATAAAAGATTTTATATATATGTATATATATATATATATATATATATATATATATATATATATATATATATATCCGTGGAATGTTTGATTCAGCCAAATATCGGGTGGTCTCCACAATAAAAATAAACATCCATAATTACACAATACAAATGACAGACTTTGTCTGCCTATTATAAACCTTGTTAGAGGAAATCAAATTGAAGTACTCCCACATCTCGAAGCGACCTCTCTTTGCCACAGGTTCCATTGTAAATTTGCTACTACTACTACAACAACACTGACTTTGACTGTATCAAACAGACAAGCCCGAACCCTGTTTCGCGCCCCATTTGAATCAATTCGAAGCGGTCACGTGACTGTGCGCCGGAACGAAGCTTCGGACGTCACTAATGACGTCACTGAGCCGGAGCGAAGCTTCGGACGTCACTGATCACGTGATCAGCAGCGAACGAACCGAGTACCGATACAATTGCTTCGTCCTGCACTGGTTCATATTTCGACACAAGCTTCGAAGCAGGAGGGTGGGAGGTAACAACACTAGGCACCAGAGCAACAGACTCTGCCTCCCTCCAGGCTTTCAGGAGGTTTAGGTGGTATATTTGCGTGGCTCCGCCCGGGTCAAACCGCGCCACCTCATAGTCGACATCCCCCACCTGCTGTGTGACCTCAAATGGCCCTTGCCACTTAGCCAGGAGTTTGGAGTTGGAAAAAGGAAGTAATGAACTTTTTAAGGGTGTGAATTGTCGCATTGACTCCAGAGGAATGTGGCAAAGCGAGGAGGGCAAGAAGCTTCAGGCAGAGATCTAAGTTGTGTTTGCCAAAATATGCACAACATGGCAGAACTATGTGTCACACATTAGACACCAAAACGAAAACACCCAACGGCCTCATCAGGGGCCTCATTTATAAAACCATGCGGAGGATTTGCGCCAAAAGTGGCGTACGGATGAAACATAGGACGTGCGTACGCACAGAAATATTCAGACTTATAAAACCGTGCGCACGCACGTCCTACACAGTTTTCCCTTAATAAATCACAATCACTTCTAAATGCAGCGCAGCTTTTGCGGCTTCATGTCACGCCCATAGTTGCCCATATATAGTCTGTGGAACGCCCACAAATTAATATTCAGCGATTGCGAAATCATGGAAAACACTGAGAGGAAAACGAAGAAACATGACTTCGCTCAGTGTGAAGTGGAAATGATCATTGTTGAGGTGGAAAGGAGTAAAATGCTTTTTGGAGGGCACAGTGTGGGCATCACTAATGCCAAAAAGGCACTGTAGTGCAGCGCACCATCGGCCTGTTTAAGTCTGGTCTGGTCGGGTCTGGGGGTCGAGGCGTGTTTGGAAGCTGTGCCACATTATGTAGCACAGCACATGCCAGCACGATGTTGCACACCTTATCAGGAGTAAACAATAACCTCCCTCCAGTGCAGTCGAGGCAGCGCCATCTGCCTTTAAACAGGCCGATGGTGCGCTGCACTACAGCGCCAATCCTTCCATGTGGCACGTCTGAGAGCGCAAGATCAGCCATCAGCGTCATTACGCATTGTGACGGCATCATGGCATTTTATTACCGTCCATTTGATTGCGTGTTTCTTGCATTTGCTGACGGTTCTCATTTCACCCGTTTGTGCGTACGCATGGGTCCGAGCTTGCGTGAAGGACCGCACATTTTTCCGTCAAGTTTGCTTTTTAAAAATACCAATTATTGCGTAGAGAGCGGCGTACGTCTTCTTTTGTGCGTACGCAACGTTTATAAATGAGGCCCCTGGTGATTCCCAGAAGCGGCACAGAGGGAAGAGCTGTTCGTGTCCAGCAGAGGCGCTCTGGGACTGGTCCCGACTCCTGAAGGAGGTGCAGCCATAAAGGCCTCATGAACTGCCAGAGACAGAAAGTGGGAGAAGAAATCAGGTTGCATTCTGGGAAGATTTATTGTGATTTCCTGCTTCTGTCTGTTCCAGAGAATAAATGTTATCTGGAGGATTTAAGTTTATAAAACAATTAATAGCCCAAAATAGAAAAACATACATTTTATTTTTTTCATTTCCATGCGATGAAATTATAAACTGTGTGTGTGTTTTACACAGCGAGACGTGTTTGTGTGTCTGACACGTCCAAACAAGTGAGCACACAAGATGCAGCATGCAGATGTTCTCAGAGGGAGGCGTGTGGCCCAGTGGCAACTCAAACTGGCATGTTATAAACCCCCCAGATAATCAGATTACAGCAAGGATGATGTCTTGTCTCCTTTTAATGGGGTTTAATCACTTCTCTTTGCTGTATTTCAGTACCATGAAACACAACAAGCACGACTGATTTTAGCAGCTTGTATTCTGACTGGGTTTGACTTTCAGTCAGAACAACTGATAACGTTCTCAGTTAAACAAAGATCCTTCATTGTATATGATTGTGATAAAATATTACAATCATATAGGAAGGAGTGCACAGTAAAATACTGTGTAAAATACTGTGCACTCACTCTGAGCGGTCTGGTGTAAATAACAGGTCAAGTGCCTTCTTCACTATCAGATTCAGTGTGTGTGCAACGCAAATATGGTGCTGAAGCTTCAGCTCTCTCACACAGGCAACCATATTGGGAGCATCATCAGTGACCACACATGTCACCTTATAAGAAAATGCCCTGAATCCAACATCATCCACAATACTGAAGGGCTGTGTGTCCTTCACTATCATGGAGACGAGGCTTCATCCAGCTCTTGTTTTCTGGTGGCTGGTTAAAAGAGAATAAATACAGTTTCTGTTACCGGTCTTTATTTGTCACAATAAACAAAAGTGAACAGGGAACAATCGTGTTGGTGCATTTGTAATATTGTAATGACTTATCATGGCTGGGTGAAGCTCCAGTTTCCTCCTTATCCTCGCTGCTGTTATTGTAACCCAACTCCGTGGAGCACAATAAACACCTCACCTTTGAATAAGATAATAAACTCCTCCCCTAAATGAAGGAGCCTCGATACGCGCGTCGAAGCGTCGGCACATCTCATCACTACTTTTCTCCTTCCCGGTGAAACAAGCGGACGTTAAAATGCGACTTGTCGGGGCGGAGATCTCGGTTCTGTCTCTCCTGATGATGAGCCTTCACGGCGCTGCAGCACGTGAGTTGACGCTTTGTTTAATGAGGTGTTTGATTGTAGAAGAAGAGACGCTTCGTGTCTTCATAGGCTGCAGACATCAGCTGAAGTGTCTCTGATGTCTCTGATGTTTAGCTCAGGACTCTCTCGATGACGACAGACAAGTTGTAAAAAGTAACACATGTCAGAGCTCTCAACTTTTAAAAAACCTTGGAGTGAGATTTGGTGGGGGGTGACCATATTAGACATTTATATATGTCTACGATACGGCCGACAGGGAAGTTGAACAGAGACCGACGCGGAGATATTTGATGTGTGGCGGAAGTGCGCTCAACGCGTGACACTAGAGAGGCCTGATTGTTGTCGAAGTGCGCGCATGTTTCCTCTCGTGAGTTTGTGTGAAGGACAGAAGCGTGTTTGTCTCACTCTGCTGTCTCTGTCTTCGGGACATTAAACGGACGGATCGCTCTTGAAGCGGACATGGCAGCATGACGTAGCGCGGCAGATCACTGATGACGTCACACTGATGCTGATGAATCAGTCATCAATATTACTTGTAGATATTATCTTATTGCAGATATATTGGTGTTTACATGTTGTCTGACGAGTGAGAAGAAAGACAAGTGAAGAAATGTCAAACTCAGTCTGAGCTCATTAATAAACCGGAAGAGCAAAAGTTGATTTTAAACTCTTAGTTTGTATCTCGTTTACTAAAAACAACAAACTATCAATCTGAATCCAGTGAGTTTAGGTCATGTGTTTATATTAATAATGCTATCACCTGAAACATTTAATAAATAAAGAATCCTTCTACTCAAACAACTTAAATCTCATAAAAAACAAAAACAAAATGAATTCATTTTTATTTGAATATAAAAAATGTAAACAGCAATTAAAAGATCAAATATATTACCTTAATTAACTTGTTTGTGTCTCCACTTCACTTCAAGAAACTCTGAGTTCAAAGTTATTGTTTAAAACCTCACAAGAATAAACGTCTGTTTTTAAAAGCTGAATCATCATAAATATCAAAGTAAACATTTATTTCTGTATTTATTGAGTTGTTAAACACAGCAGATGTTATCAGGGTGTCTTTGATGTTCTGTGTTTCTTTTTAATTCTGTGTGCAGGAAAACAACATAATTATTGATTAATTAAAGTGTGACATCAGAACTGATGATGATTCCTTTTTGGTTCCAGTGACTCACTCGCTGAAGTATTTCCTCACTGCGTCCTCTGGACTCCCAAACTTCCCAGAGTTTGTGGGTGTTGGGCTGCTGGATGAAGTTGAGTTTGTTCACTATGACAGTGACACCAAGAGAGCAGAACCCAGACAGGACTGGATGAGCAGACTCACAGAGGATGATCCTCAGTACTGGAAGAGGAACACTGAGCTCGCTATGGACACCCAGCAGGTCTACAAACGCCACATTGAAATATTAAACCAAAGCTTCAACCAAACTGGAGGTTTGTTTTTGTTTCACACTTTTTGTTTATATTTGCATCCTTTATGTTATTAGTACATAAACACACACACACACACACACACAGAGATTAAACAGATCTTTTCTTGACTGAAACATTTTCTGCTTCCAGTTCCTAAATATAAGTATATAAACACAATGAATACTTTTCCGTGTTGTTCAGGATGAAGAAGATTTCCTCTCATCCTGATTAGAACTCCAGCTTAGATTAGATGAGCTTTACTTGAGCTCCGGGAGTCGATGCTTCAGTATTTCATTCCAGGTTTTATCAGATGACGTCCAACATGTTCTAGTTGAGGTTCCTCACTGAGACGACTTCTTCCTCTTGTCTGTTTGAAATGGTGATGAATGAAATACTGCTCAGTGTTGTTCACACTGAAGAAGCACTTCCAAGGTTTCATCAGCCTCTCTGACGTTTTACAGTGTGAACAATTCATGGATTCATTAGAAATAGTTATTACATCATCTGCAAAGACAAGAATAATTAGTTTGAGCCCAAAATCTGGAGTATGATACAGATGAGAGTTAATGAACTAAAGTGGACTGCAGTGAGTTTAGAACAAACATTCAGGATATTTAGTGTTGAAACATTGAATCAATTAGTCGATGAACAGAAAATGAATCAACATGAATGTTGATAATCAGATGATGACTGAAGTCTTTTATCAAGCAAATATGTTTCTCTCTCTCTCTCTCTCTCTCTCTCTCTCTGATCTGAGAGCGTTAGCGTGTTTTATGTCGGTTTTCACAAATAATTGACAGCTAAAGTCAACGTTGTGTACGCGTTGTGGGAATGTGCACTTTGAATGTATCTGCAGCGCTTCGGAGTTTGCAGGACGGCGTGCTGCACGCGGAAGCACGGCGTGAGGATCGCGCTGAGCCCCTCGTACTCGGTGGAGGACTGCAGCCCGGCCGTGGGGGAGCTGGTGGGCCACCGCAGCGCGAAGTCCGCAGCGCGCATGAACAACGCGGTGGTCATCTTCCTCGACAGCGTGGAGAAGGCGGACGCGGTGGTGGTCAGCGGGATCGCGGTGCACGGTGCTCGTGCCCGTTCTGCCTCTCTCCACGCCGCCGGTGAGAGTGACGGTGTCGAACGTCCCCCCGTTCATCGGGGACGAGGCTCTGGTCAAGGAGCTGTCAAAGTATGGGAAGGTGGTGTCTCCCGTAAAGAAGGTCTCTTTGGGGTGCAAGTCCCCGCTGCTGAGACACATGGTTTCACACAAAAGGCAACTCCTCATGGTCCTCAACAACAGGACCAAGGAGCTCAACCTGATGTTTGGGGTCGAAGTGGAGGACTTTGTGTATGTGGTGTTTGCCACTTCTGACAATATGAACTGTTTCAGGTGTGGCAGGAAAGGACATCTCAACAGAACGTGTCCGGGAAAGGACTCTGCCGAGGGTGCAGAAGAACGAGGTGTGGAGGATCGGGACGGTCAGGGAAGACAGGAGAAGACAGGTGGGGTACAACAGGAGGGAGAGGAGGGACAGGAAGAGACAGGTGGGATCAAGCAGGCGGCTGAGAACGGGGGGGGTTCCAGAAGGGTGTGGAGGCGAGTGATGGGGGCCAGGAAGGGACAAGTGGAGGACAAAAGGTAGGGCGAATGTGTGGGGAGGGGACAAGTGAAGTCCAGCGGGAGAGTGAGGTGTGTGAGAGGGGAGAAGATGGGGGGGTGTGGTGGAGTCCAGCCGGCCTGCCAGGGGGGCGACAGAGTGACTGAGGGGCTGATTGAGGCCCAACAGGTGGGCCAGGTGAGTGTGGGGGTGAATGAAGAGACAGGTGGTGTCAGACAGCTCAGCCAAGAGAGAAGGGAAGGTGTGAGTGGGGTTCAACAGGTGGTTCTGGGGGGCGAAGAAGGGCAGGAGGAGCTGGAAAAAAGTCAGGAGACACGTGCTGAGGAAATGCTGTCTGAAAGCAGCGCCGACGACATGGAGGGGGAGGAGGAGGAACGTAAAGCCCCCCTGAAGAGAAGGAAGACGAGGAGCAGCGGAGGAGCCTCTCGAGCCAAGAAAGGGTCAGAAAACAGAAGGAGAACAAGAGGGAAGCGGGTGAACCCGGGTCCTCTGCTGACTGGGATTCCACTGACGGCGCCTCTTCTGGTGGGACGGTGACCAGCAGGTACGGGGTGGGGAGAGTGAAGCTCTTCCTGGATGTAACAAAGAACATGAAGGGGGTGGACATGGAGGAGTATTTTTCTGACCTAGAGAAGTTCTCGCACTGCTCGGGACGGTGTGAGCAAAAAGGGTAGTGGGAGATGCACCCAGCAGGAAGTCTTCCGGATGAGGAAGATCATCCTGAAGATAAACAGAGGAAGCGAAGGTGCTTCTGTGGACTGAGAGCGGCGTCCATCCGGTGGAGGAGGATCCTGGCTGGCTGACGCAAGAGGAGATGCTGGTGGGGAATGACGCCATGACGGGAGGAGTGGAGCCAGCGTCCAAATCGACGATTTTTCAGAGTTGTTGTGTATGTGACACGTTTGTGCGTTTCAGAAAATAAAGGTTTTTCAAAATCAAATCTCTCTCTCTCAGGTGTCCACATTAACCAGAAGATGGTCGGCTGTGAATGGGATGATGAGACCAATGAGGTCAAGGGTTATGATCAGTTTGGTTATGATGGAGAAGACTTCCTATCATTTGACCCGGAGACAGAGCGATGGATCACTGCAAAACAGCAGGCTGTCCGTATCAAACAGAAGTGGGATCAGGACAGAGCTCGGACAGCACACAGGAAGTTTGTCCTGACTCAAGAGTGTCCTGAGTGGCTGAAGAAGTACTTGAGCTACGGGAGGAGCTCTCTGATGAGAACCGGTAGGATCACATGACCTGATGTCCTTCCATGGACACGATGCTCATAAACCTTCTGTTGTTTCATAGCAACATGTCAGAGACACACAGAGACCCACTGTGTCTCCCACATTTCTCCCTCCTCACCTCCTTCTCTCCTTCACTGCACTCCCTCCCTCACTCCCCCCTCACACCTGTCCCCACTCTGTCCCTCCATCCTCTTTGTCTCTGCTGTGTTTCTGTCTGTCTCACTGTCTCTTTACTCTCTCTCACACACTGTCCTCCTCCCCTTCCAATCCGTCTCACCCCTCTTCATCTGTTTGTCTCCCTTCTTTAATCAATGAAACTTTAAAGACATTTCATTCTTTTAGTGAACTTAAATACACATAGTTGAGTGTTAAAGAGGCATTTTAAATACATCAAAGGTGAATGATATTAATACACTAAATATCAGTGATAATAATAAAGATGTAACCTGTCCCTCTCTTCTGTCTCCAGAGCGTCCCTCGGTGTCTCTCCTCCAGAAGACTCCCTCCTCTCCAGTCAGCTGCCACGCTACAGGTTTCTACCCCGATATAGCCGACCTCTTCTGGAGGAAAGATGGAGAGGAGCTCCATGAGGACGTGGACCTCGGAGAGATCCTCCCCAACCACGACGGGACCTTCCAGATGAGGGTTGACCTGAAACTGTCCTCCGTCCCTGCTGAAGACTGGAGGAGGTACGACTGTGTGTTCCAGCTGTCTGGTGTGGACGAGGACATCGTCACCAAACTGGACAAGACCAGGACCAACAGGGGTAGGTCTGAGACCCGGAGCGGTGAAGGAGGGAAGCAAACATCCACTTTGTTCACTTTGTGTGTTTTAGATTTGGGAAGTTTTGTTTTCTTACATTTCTAGTCTAGTTTTTATTTGTAGTCATTTTAAGACTCGGATCAGAATTAAACACAGCGAGAGTTATGAACACTGTTTACTGGTCTACATTAATATATAAATGTGTCAATATTTGGTTCATTTCTCTGTAAATAAGTTTATTCATCCTTTTGTAAACTCATTCCAGGTAAGAGCTTTATTTGAGTCCGTGCTGAACTATTGTAACGTGTCACCACAATTCAGACGTTGTAGAATCTGCATTCACACAACTACTGGTCACTTAAAGATGAGTAGACAGAATGATTAAACACGTGTATTAATACATGTATCCATCAGTGAATCAGACAGAGCAAAGTTCAGGAAGGAGGTTGAATATGTGTCTCAGTCATCATGTGCAGACGGCATAAAGAAATGACGTCACATGGTGTGTGTGTTCAGGTCTGCTGGATAAGTGGATCTTCTTCTCTTCTGACCTGCTTCATCTGTTCAGCTTGAGACTCTTTGATTGTTTTGTGCTCCACAGAGAAGCCTGCTGGCTCCACCTTCATCATCATCATCATCATCATCGCTGTGGCTGTTCTTGTCGTCATCATCGCTGCTGTGGTTGGATTCAAGGTTTACAGAAAGAGGAACGGTGAGAGAGACGATCAGAGACAGTGTTGAGGTGCATTGATTTTAGGCTTTGAGTTGATGCTTTTATCCAGAATGAGACACTGAAGCAACTTTCACCAGTCACACCTATAAAACCATATTTGCTTTTATTCTGCATTTATTGTTTAGTGCCATTTTACTTTTAGACAATTCTGTGATTGTTTTGCACTTGAGACACTTAAACGTAGTTAATTGTTTCTTCAGGCTGTTGCTGAAAGTCATTTTAGCTTTTAGAGGAAGAAATAGGTTAAAAAACTGAGATTGTATCTGCTGGGAGGAAGCTGTTAGAACACTAAACACTGAAATTCTCTTTGCTTTTTATTTCAGCCAAACGCTCTTCAGCCAAATGCCCTTCTTCTACTGACGGCTCTGAAGAGTCTCTCAGGGACAAACTGAACCCTAAACCTTGAAGTCGGCGTCCTGCACACAGTGAGTAGCTCCACGTGGACATGAACCATTCACAGCTGCTGTTCCACAAAGCTGCCCTCAGTATGAGCACAAGGAGCTTCTCATGTAAAGAAGTCTTTGACTTTTTCTACAACAAAGGTGCAGTTTGGTTCCGTGAGACGTGAGATTATTAAGAGAAAGACACAGAAAGCTTCACATCAGCTCCTCAGATAAAGTCTGATATTCAAAGCTCTTACATTAACTTCTAGGAACTCACTAACACATGTTTATCAAAATGGAGTCAAAGTAGTTTGTGGTAAATGATTTAGTTTTCTCTTTTATGTATTTGTTTCTCTCTTTAGGTTTATGGGTGAATATTGCTCTGGATCAACAAGCGATGCTCCACATTCTTCTCCATAAACTGTCAATTTATGGCTCATTCATCCTTCATTTAAACGTCTGAATCAGGGTTGGTGAACATCTGGAAACTGTGAGGAAACATCAATAGTCACTTTTAATTATTTGGGTAGTTTGGTTTTAATAAAAAGGTTGAAATGAAATAAAATGAGGATGATTATTTTAGGAGACGTTCAAATCAATGAAAGCATCAAAGTGCTCACAGACTAGTGTGTTCATCTCAAACAAATCCACCATATTTACTCTTTGATACTTCTGCTGTTTGGGTTGAATCATTGTTGGTAACAAACGTGTAAATACACACACACACACACAAAATATTGACATTAAAACAACATTTATTTTCTGATTGTGTAAATAGTTTGCTTGTATTTTTCTTTGCAGTAGATTGAATTTAACTGGTTGAAGAAAATAATAATTTCAGGGTTTTCTGAATAAATCAGTATGTTTATTGGTTCATAACGTCTTTTGATCACTTTTAAAATATCATATTATTTAAATTTGGGTTTGAATCATCCGAGCACACTGATTGAAATGTTATTGACTATTTCTTGCTGCTGTTTTGGATCAAGGGATGTTTTCCTTCTTGGTTTCGTGGGAGTTGAACAGTGATGCTCTGAATCACTTGTTGTTTTGTAGATGAAGGTGGAATGAAGTTGCTCCATTTCCCCTTTTTGTACCTTTGTCCTGCTGTTCAATAAATGCTCCAGATGTTTGTGTGTTGTTGTGATTCCATGTGCTTCCCCTCTGTGACTGCAGCCACAATCACATGCATGTTGTTTCCCTTTGGACTCTAAACGTCGTGTTCTTCACTTCACTGGTTTAAAGCATGCTGGGAGTTGCTGCAAATGGAAGACTCACATCGCCTGAGATCATTTTATCGTAACAAAATAACATTTGTAAATCCTGCGTCTTATCAGCACATGTTGTGGTCGTAGTATCTACAATGATCTGAATATTCAGTGTTCTCTGTGGTCTCTGAGGATAAATGGACGAGTCTTTGACCTGCAGACGTCCAACAAAAGAGCAAGAAGAGTGAACATTTTAGGGGCAAAGCAGTGATTCTTCACAGATATCTGAAGAGGGTTTTACTTTTCATTAAACAATAAAACATGAGACGCATTAAGACCGTCCTAAACAACACGTGTGTGAAATCATTGAACAGGACATTTATTAAAGAGCACTAGCAAGTAGGAGCAGAGTTGAAACAAGTCGTGTGTTAAGTTGCTGCTCGGAGGTCTGCGTCTCAGCCCTCTGAATTATATACTTGAGATAACACACACACGTTATGCTTGAAGGTGGAAGGTCTGCATCTTAGTCTCCCAATTCATGACATGTACACACGAGACATGCGTCAAGGCTTCTCCAAGGTCTGTGTCTCCGTCTAGTTGAGATAACTAATCAATACAGAGTTGCAGGATTTCAAATTCAAACTTAGTGTGCAGTTCGAGCATACATACATTTTTTAATGTGTGTCTTTGAGCATCAACATCAGAAATCTTGAACAACATGATTACAACACTGGTGGCGGGCGTGGTTTGGCTCAGCTGCAGAGGGGACGGAGAGGGGAGGAGGCATAATTGGCCTCAGGTGGAATTTATCAGTGTGTGTTCTGCCTTCAGTAGGGGAGATCCGGCGACATCGAGGAGGACTGAGCGAGGCGAATAGGCTGGAGCTGGATGTGTGTTGTATTAAAACAGTAAATAAAGACTGAATATTGAAACTCTCCTGGATTCCTCACAGACCCACGTTACAAACACCAAATGACGTGTTCAATCAGGGATTTGTGGCCTGATTATGAAATTGTAAACGTGTCCATTTCAAAGACATAAAAACTACATTATCGGCAGTGATAGTTGTCTTCTACTTATTTTGAAGTCGTTCAAAAGCGACTTAGAAGAAGACAGCCAGTAGGAGCTGTGGCTCAGTTGGTAGAGATCGTCCTCTAATCATGAGGTGGGTGCTATTGTCAGCATGTCCAACCCCCAAAATGCATACATGTATTGTAGGAGCCGCATTTAAGTTTAGGTCCATGTATTAAAACAACTTATTTTTGTTCTTTTTATATGTGTTAAAAGAAAAGTGTGCCCCCTACAAGAGAGGCGGGCGCTCCTAGTTGGTGCGAATGGCACATAGTTGGGGGAGAAACGGGTTACGGCAGATACCGACTCCAGAGGAATGTGGCACAGCGAGGAGGGCAAGAAGCTTCAGGCAGAGGCAAGTTGTGTTTGTCATAATATGCACATCGTGGCAGAACTGTGTGTCACACACTAGACACCAAAACGAAACCCAGCGGCCTCATCAGGTGATTCCCAGAAGCGGCACAGAGGGAAGAGCTGTTCGTGTCCAGCAGAGGCGCTCTGGGACCGGTCCTGACTCCTGAAGGAGGTGCAGCCATAAAGGCCTCATGAACTGCCAGAGACAGAAAGTGGGAGAAGAAATCAGGTTGCATTCTGGGAAGATTTGATTCTCTGCTTCTGTTTGTTCCAGAGAATAAATGCTATCTGGAGAATTTAGGTTTATAAAACAATTGATAGCCTAAAATAGAAAAACATATATTTTCCTCTTTTCACTTCCATGTGATAAAATAATAAGTTGTGTGTGTGTTTTACAGCGAGGGAGGCGTGTGGCTCATGGCAACTCAAACTAGCATGTTATAGGTTTTATTTGATGTGTATCTCAGTCTAAGAGCTTTTCAAAACACTAAAGCGACGTGTCTTTCACAGCTTTGCTACATTTTATTTCTTTGTAACAAAGGAACGATCTCCTATTGAATGATGACTGAAGACAAAGCAGTGAGACTTCTGCTCAGTGAAGTTTAGGTTCATTCTTTTGCTGTGAACAACATTTAATTTGCAGACAAAGCTAAGAAACACAAGTAATTCAAACAATGAAAACAGTAAAACCATCGGACAGTAATTCACTACACAAAACGGAGAAAATCACGTAATTCAGACGTGAGAAACTTCACTGAGAAATGCTCAGATAATCAGATTACAGCAAGGATCATGTCTTGTCTCCCTTTAATGGGTTTAATCACTTCTCTTTGCTGTATTTCAGTACCATGAAACACAGCAAGCACGACTGATAACAGCAGCTTGTAGTCTGACTTTCAGTCAGAACAACTGATAACGTTCTCAGTCAAACAAAGATCCTTCGTCGTATATGATTGTGATATTTTACTGTGCACTCACTCTGAGCGGTCTGATGTAAATAACAGCAGCATTAGTCTCAGGTTTTATAATAATGTTACACATGTGTAGGGTTGTATTTTAATGCCACATACAGTTAAAAAAGTCTAAAATAGTTGTTAACAAAGACAGACAGTCCGTCTGTCCAATCAGAAGGGTCCGTCCTCTGCTATAAGGCCCTACCCTTTCCGTAAGAAGTTAATTCCGTTGTGTTTTGCACTTCAGGGCCACCGTAGGTCTCCCATTTCCAACGCTGCTGCAGGTGCCGGCTTTGTCATTTCCTCCTGAAGGGTGTCCTCCAGCATCCTCCCGAGGGGGACAACTTTGGAGGCAGGCACATTTTCCTCTGCCGACAGCTCTACAGTGGATCATAGAAGGGGGACAGCAAAGAAAGGCACCCTCCAACAATGTTGAACTCTTTGGCTGTTAGGAAGGGGATGTCATGTTGTAACCCAGCTAACGCTGCTCCTACTGGCTGAATCTCCACTTCTTGCATTAGCTTCATGTTTGGCATCCCCAGATGAAGTGTAAGCTTATCCTTTAAAGATACCGATGAGTAGGCCATTAAATCACTGCAGTAGGAACACAGACAAACTCTTAAGAGTTAAATGAAATTGGAATAAAGGGAAAGCGCATACCTTAGCAGTGGTGCTGGTTCTAAAGAAGCCCACCAGAGAGCACAGGCTGCTGGTCAAGTGCCTTCTTCACTATCAGATTCAGCGTGTGTGTGCAACGCAAATATGGTGCTGAAGCTTCAGCTCTCTCACACAGGCAACCATATTGGGAGCATCATCAGTGACCACACATGTCACCTTATTGGCAATTCCCCACTCCTCCATCAGGGCTTTCACACAAGCTATATTTTCAGCAGTGTGTGATTGGGGGAAATGCCCCAAAAAATGTCCTAACAGCACTGAACTGAGTGTGGTTTTCTCACCCACAAAATGGCACGTTACAGCCAGGTAGGCATCCATATTTCCTCCGGCATCCGGAGTCGCCGGCGGCTCAAGGGCCAGATCCCAGACAGCCCCCAGATCACCAACAGGGGGGTGGGAGAGGTCCATGGGATGGGAGGGAGGGTTGCCCGAGTCGGGGAGCGGGGACTGGAGGCGTCGGCGTCTCGGGGTCGGGGCCTGGAGTCTCGGGGCCGGTACTGGCTGAGTCAGGGTCGGGGCTGAGAGTCTCTGGGTCTGGGCTGAGAGTCTCGGGGCTGAGAGTCTCGGGGCCGGTAATGGCGGGGTCGGGGCTTGGACACAGGTGGAAACGATCAGACAATTACAGGAGATGACAGGACCGGGCAGGTAGTGAAGTTACCCAGGGAGACAAGAAGCAGAAAACTACAAAATAAGACAACAAATGAAACCACACCGTGACACTTGGAGATAAGGAGGAGGACCTTTTCAAACATTATAACATAAGTAATTGAGTACGCTTTTAATTTTGTTTGAACTGCATGTCTCTGTAGCCTTCCCACTTGGAGATATGGCTGTTTTAATACACCAGCCTCTGCTATGCGTTGAAGTACATGGTCACCCTGCATTCCCTAATGCACATCACCCTGAAGAGCTTGAGCTATGCATTTTATACATCCTAACACCTTCTAATTTCCTTTACAAGGATGCGGAGAACCTCGACGTACACCTGTCGCCAGATCCTGTGCTTTGCTGATGGGAGTGATCTATGCCCTTAACCTTAGCTATCCCAAGCACTTGAAATTTACCTTTGAGGTATTTCAGAAGCTATGTCTTCAGCTCGATGGACAAAAAGCCAGCTCTAAAGTAACAAAGTACAGTATTTTCTAGAGTAGACTTGATCGACCATGTGTGAGGGAGGCTCACATCACACGCACTCACACAACTCGCTTGTTATTTTTTTCTGAGATAATATTAATACCTACAGTACTGAGTGAAAACCAAATCAGTGTAATCAGAATTGAAAAGAATGGCCTCTGTTCTCTGAGGGTGTTGGTGTTATTTTGAACTTGATATGCAGTGTCTCTCTCTGGAAATTTTTGCTGGAGTTAATCAGGAGGGTGAGGAGTCTGATATTGATCAGATAAGAGATGATGCGAGTACTGCCAAAGTTGATTGATAGAACTTCATTTGATGTTGAAA